CTCTTCCTCCTCTTCTTCTTCTTCCTCTTCCTCCTCTTCCTCCTCTTCTCCTTCTCCTTCTTCTTCTCCTTTCTTTCTTTCTTTTTTTTTGCTAGAAATGATCCCTTCCCTTTGAAATGCTCTCCTGGACAGCTTTAAAAATAGAAAAAGTTCTTATATGCTCAGATAGTTTCAAGAAAAGATGCTTCTTTGAAGGTAACTAGCTGAATATACAGCAGCTTTATGATCCTATTAAAATCAATGAGAATATTTGCTTTTAAAAAAGCATTCTTCTTTTGCTTAGCCTTAGTAGTTGATCATATTAATTTAGTTTCATAAATGTATTCAGTGCCTTTTATGTGTTAGGCACTGTTCTAGGTGCTTGGGCTACATAAGTAAAGGCAGAGATTCCTGCCCTTGTGGACTTTATATTCATTCATCAAAAACTGCCTGATTATTATATGTTTAGTATGTGCCTGGTTTATGTGTGACTTTTTGAATAATCAGGTATTTGTTCCTAGTGCAGAATTCAGCATGTGTCATACTAGTTGCCTATTTCCAAATCTCCTGATAGCTGCAGTTAGTGTTGTATTAAAGCAGTGGCCATATGTAGTTATATTTTTTGTTAGAAATATTGAAACGATTATTTCTGTAGTTTGGATTATTTCTATTTTATTAACATTATTTCTATTTCTACAGTTTGAATTCTCTCTGGTCATAGATATATACTATATATTTGGCTTAATATCCATTAGAATCTCTTAAATACTGTATCATTACCAGAATAATCAGTAAAATAAGGCTAGTAATCATGTGGTGTTAGGAATGACCTAGCTCTTTTCAAGTGTCAGTCTGTAAAGATAAATAGTGTCTAGGTTTTTAAGCAAGGGGAGAAGAATTTTTTTTCTGTTATGGCTGGCCAAACAGATGGCTGAAGGTCAGCTAGAAACATTGAACATTGGTTGAGGTGGATAATATGGTGAAATGTGTGTTAGAGACTGTTGAATATTAACTTTAATTTGTGTGTATGGATGTGTAGGAAGAGATATTCCAGATTCAAAATCTTATATAAATCTTATATAAATTTGAGCCAAAATAACATATAATTAAGCTGTTTGTCCTCATTTTGCTTGCAGTGTTGGAAATAGTAGGATGAGCAGGTCATTGCAGATGTTGTACAGTAACTAGGACTGGTGGCAGTGGAGATAGAAGTGTGTTACAAGTGTGTGGATTTTGGAGAGATTAGAAAAATAAAATGCATTAGACTTCTTGATGGATTAGTAATGGATCACGTGGCAGACAGTAATGTCAACAATAACTCCTAGGTTTCTAATTTGGATGAATTGTGACAGACACTGAGACAGGATACCCTGTAAAAGAGCCAGGTTTAGGGAGAAAGAATATGAGTTCTAATTTGGGCATGTTGATTTCTGGAGCTCAGAATACATGGGCATGGGTGGTAAAGTCCAGAGACGAGAGTGAAGAGAATTAGGTCGCTGAGGGAGAGTGGAGAGAGAGAGCTTAGAACACTTAAGCAGCTAACAGGGAGAAGCAATCAGCAGTGGGGTTTCTGAGGAAGGAAAAAGAGAATGCTTTGTCATTGAAGCCAAGGGAAACAAAGTGGTGAACAGTGAAATGATTGGAAAAATGTCCCCTGAATTTAGCAGCGTGGAAAGAAATCATCTATTACTTAAGTGAAAACTGTTTCTAGGAGAGAGAGACAAGCCATGTTGAACTGAATTGGGGAATAAGTGCAGAGGGAAGACAGGGATAGTGAGTATACAGCACCTCTTTTGAGAAATGTGATGCCCAAGATAGGTGACAGTATGGTATCTAGAGTGCTGTGAGGGGCTGAATGAAGGTTTGTTTTACATGGAAGGTATTTATTGGAGTTTTAATTGCTGTAGATGCACAGTAATGACTTTGATCTCTATATAACATGTTACATGTAATATATTTAATTACTTTGAATTCCTCTTGTATGATGTTATACATTGTGGGACGCATAAATCGGAGTATTTTCCATTTAATTTCATAGGAAATGAGCTTGACCATTTAAACACTGTTGTTTTTAGTTAACAGAGTTTTTCTTTTTACAGTAAGAATACAGAAACTCAGCTGTCCTCACACCACATGTTTTTCCTATTCAAAAGTGTTATCAGGACCAAATAATAAATTACAAAAAAAGATCCTTTTATGACTGATCCAGGCTCTCGTGGTGCGGTATTCTTTTGCTAATCTTAAATTTAGCTGGATAGCAAAGAAATGGCAGCTGGAAGGACGTCTAGGTGTCACATAGTTTAATCAGGTGTAGGTCTCCTCAAGAATGATTAATACTCTTTCTACTTGAAATATTTTACGGAATATATGTAGCCATGGTGTTTTTCCAGAGTAACTAAATTTATATTTTAATATGAGTCCATGAGAGAAATTAAAATACTTGAAATGACTTTTGTGTGTGTGTGTGTATGATTATAAAAGAATTCAAGATTGTTGTAAATATTTCAAACAACACAGGAAAATAAAAGGAGTACTTTTTATTACATAGATATTTTGGAGTTTGTTCTTCCATATTTTTTTCCTATGCATGTCAAAAGCAGGTTTCAAAATAGTATGTGTTAGGGAGAGACTGTGAGAGAGAGAATGTGTATTTAAAAGAATACCATATATACTATTTTGAAACCTGCTTTTTTCACTTAGCTCGCATAATTATGTTCTTTAATGGTGCAATAGCATGTTAAATCATATAAGCTCTGCCTCCTTTTACTTTGTCTTGCTTTAAGCCTTGACAGTATGGTCAGTTCTCTAACTCAACAATATACACGTTTCCCTTGAAGAGGCTGAAAGAAAGCAGAATGGATATAAATTTGATAGTTTATTAAAAATATCACTGAGCTGAGATGAGTTTACTTAAACTTTTGAGTTATGGAAGTTGTTACAGTTTTTCAAGATAGGATTATGAGAGAATGAGGAAAGCATGGAACGTATTTTCAGATGAAGGGCATGCCAAAACTGAGGTCTGGGCTGGAGTTGGAAGAATGTGTAAAGGTAGAGAAGTAGGTAAAATAGATGGGAGGCCAATTTTAGAAAATAGCCATAATTGTTTCTATGACTTTTTAGGCTTAAAACTTGAAACCAGAGCCTGGGATGATATTAGACCAAACCAGACTACATCATTAAGGTTTGGAATTCGGATGGTTAGACTAGGATCAGCTCTCAGACATCAAAAGTGAGGAGCAAATACAAGAAGAGAGAAAATCAGAGCAAAAAATCGTAGACCATAGCTCCAGGTTCAAGCTAGGCATAGACTGGGAACTACAGTTCAGTTTCTTGTTCAGCTGGGCAGAGGATCATAGTAGCATACCTACTGTGTGATCATTGACTTTGTGACAAGAGATATTTGTTCCAATTCTAAATACCCTTGGAAATGGGTAAGGCTGACAAGTGTATGTTGCTGGCGATTTGGTTAGGTTGTGTAAGTTTTGTCGGAAAGGGCCAGGTCCTTTCTGTAGGGTGCACTTTGGGCCAGGATGCAGGGGTGCAGTCAAGGTGTGATAGGCCTCTGATCTTCTTTCAGCATCCCTTGCCCCCAACCCTTGCCATAAACATGCCGTTAGCTAGTTTGCCATATGTTCATCTCAGTGGATTCAGGTGGCTCTTTTTAATGCCTTGAAATGCTGCCTAGAAATACATAGTTAACGCATTCATTATTATGAATAAGTTTATAGGATGATTAAAACAAGTAAATGAGAGGAAGGAAAAACTTTTCTTGTGGGTGGAATAACATGGTTTGTCAATAAAGAAGATGTGATCAAGGAAGAAGAGTTGAAGATACCACTGAATTTAAATGCTAATATTATTATTTCATGCCCCATCCTCCACTTTTCTCCTGATCCAGGTTTACACCTTTAAAGAAACTCATTAATATACTTTCCATAACAGCAGCAGTTCACATTGGTGAAGGGAGTATGAATGGTTTATTTTCTTGTTTTCTCAGGCACAGTAACCTTGGTGCACGACCGAAAGGGCTGTCCACTCTGGTGAAGAGTGGTGTTCCTGAAGCATTGAGAGCAGAGGTATGGCAGTTATTAGCAGGCTGCCATGACAACCAGGCAATGCTGGATAGGTACCGACTTCTCATCACAAAGGTAGGAGAGCTTTTCATATTATTCTTATGGGACAATGTATTAAGTAAATCCTGCTTTCATAGCTTCAGTAAGTCATAAATGCTTTGAACGTCTTTAAAAACTGTATTGGTGGTGTTCAGTGAATAGCTCTGCCTTTTGTTTTGAACACTTGTTGGAGAGCGTTAAACAATGCACTGTAGTCATCTGTGAACACTTTATGCCTTGGCTTTCATTTTTCGTTCGAGTGACTTTATAATAACTATTTACTAAATTGGAATATCCTTATATCTCAAGTATTTTCAATTAACCTTTCTTATGGTATGAGATTTATATACAGCTGTACACAGTATAATTATATGCTAGTATAATTTTAAAATCAACTTAAAATGAAATTGTAAGGCCTTCTGTACCTGTGTAACTTTATACTTAAATGATGTGGATAGTTTGCCCAGATCCTTATTCTGTCAGGAGCCTCTGGTTCCAATGTAAATTCCTTTGCTTATGTCCAAAAAAACAGATGAGTGGTTTAAAACGATGGCTGTCAGGGTGTTACATATAAAGATTGCTTAAAAAAATACTAATGCATCCTTCAAGCAAAAATTAATGTTATGATAATGGATGACAAAGTGACTGCTTTTGGAAATAAATTCATGTTATAGAGAAGGACATTTGAAACATTAGGCAATTTAAACATCACTGTGAGTTTGTGACTGAAAGTTACATGTATGCCTTATTATAAAACTCTTACCATTTTCTTACTTTAAAACCTGCAATTAGAAATTTCAGACATGTTTAAAACTTGTGCAAATAGTTGTAGAAAATTTGAGACTTATTGTTACAACACAGTCTGAAAATGCAACACGTTCTGATTTATTCTTAAGAATACTTTGAGAAAATGAGTAATCTCCAGCCAAATTTCAACAAAATGATTGATGGGTGGGACTGAAACAAATGATACACCTCTGCTTGGATCCATGGCTCTTTGTAAGTCTTTTTCAGATATGATCATGATTAAAATCATGAATCAAAAAACTAATTTCAAGAAGTTTTCAAATTGTCATTTCATGAAGTGCTAAACAAACATATTAAAAAACACTCATATTGAATGATTCTATTTATATGAAATGTGTAGAGTAGACAAATCTGTAGAGACAGAAAATAGACTAATGATTGCCAGGAGCTCAGGGAGGGAGGAAGTGGGAGAGGCTGCTAACAAGTATGGGGTTGCTCTTTTGGGGTGATGGAAGTATTCTTGAATTAGCGGTGATGGTTACACAACACTGTAAATATACTAAAAACCACTGAATTGTACACTATAAAATGGTGAATTTTATCTTATGTGAAGTTTATCTCAATTGAAAAAATATACAAACTAAAAAAATTTTAAATGACCCATATTTGTTACTGAATAGTATTTTTGTAGCATTTTTGTGAAGTGAAAGTTTTTTTCATTCTTTTTATTGTTTTTACATTCTGTCTACATGTCTGCTTATTCATATTAATACAGTAGCATCTGTGCATAATACAAATAAATAATAAAATACATATACCTATATTGGAAGTTTATGCTCAGACGTTTTTATTGACAAAGGTATCTGAGCAAAAATGTCCAGAGACCATAACTTTTGGCATCAGAAAATTTTTTCATATAATTAACAAACTGTGTACTATTTTCTTTTTTTGTATTGGGGTATAGTCAGTTTACAATGTTGTGTCAAACTGTACTTTTAATGGCTGTTCATGGGGTAGCAGCTACAGCTATATCCCTTCCTACACTATGAGGCTTTGTTGATTCATACCTTTCAAGATTTCAAACTTTGTGACAAAAATAAAAATAGTCTCCCACAATATTGTTTATAAGCTCCTGACAACACAGTACACACACACACACACACACACACAGACAACACACATATACATGTGATAAAAGCTTTGCCAGGTATACCAAGCACCGGGGTAGTTTTGAATTTACAATTTGCAGGAAAAAGTTTAAGATCAAGGGAGAGAATGACAGAAAAAATGTTTTCATTGAATACAGTATCCTCAGACTCCTTTCACTCTGTGCCTTTGTTCAAGCTCTCAAGTCATAACATTTCTGTGAGAGGAAGTACAATGTTATATTTAATTTCATTGTCTTCCTTGATTCATAACCAGCATAATAAAAATAAGACGAATAATGTCAATATTTTAAAAATGATTGTGTTCTTTCTCTGTGCTTTTGGGTGGAAATGAGACAGCAAGTGTTTGTAGCCAAGAGTGTATGTGGTGAATGTCTATAAGCTTAACCAGCCACTCAGTAGAAAGAACGTGTACACCCAGAGGATTTTCCGTAAGAAGTGCCTGCATATTTGGTATTTTCTGGTCATGGTTCAGCAGCTGGTAGTGCCTCCTTTTGGTCCAGTTAATTTTCCCTCTCTTATTAAAGGAATGGCAAGATTTCAGGGTCAGTTAATGAAATAGTTCAGCTAGAACAAACAGACTTGCTTTATAAAAATCCTACCAAAGACATTGGATTCCATAGGGAAGAAGGAATATGAAGTATTTCTAGAAAACCTACTTAAAATTTGGCTTCTGTGAAAAAGTAGTCTGTTTATCACTTAATCCTGTAGTATCAGTGCTCAAGTCCACAGTTTGAAGCAACAACTCACGTTCTGAAGCAGTCTTTTCAGGTGAGGTGGCATACAGCCAGCAGGCTGCATCCAGCCTCGAATATGCTTTGTGTAATCTTCAGTACAGAACGTTAAAGAAGAGCATACATTTCTGACTCAAGTTTGTGCTTTCTGTTTTGTCATAGACTTACTGCTTTTTATTATTTACTCTCTGTTCTTCATACATTGTAATACCTCTCCAGCCCTCAAATATATTTGATTTTGTGACTCCATTATGTTAGCATATGGACCGTTGCCTTGGGGGTGGGACCTGTCACAGCGTGGTTTTAGCTGATTAAAGGGTCTACTTCACCAGCAGACCCTAAACTCCTGGGGAGCAAGGACCACAACTATTTTACTCTTTGTGGGATACCCTGTGTCTGTTATAGGGCCTGGCATATACTGGATGATCAAGACAATTTGGTTTTGTCCCTCTGAAGAGGGATTTGATGTCATTTGTTGACTTATTCATATAGTCATTTATTCTTTTTTTTAATCCCCTAAACTATAAGCCTTGCATTGTGTTGTGAGTAAAGCTGGCAAAGTATAAGCACACTGTCTTTTTCCCAGGAATTTTATCATCTAGTTGGGGAAAGCTATAAGCAGTTGGTTAATTTGAGCAGCAGGTCCTGATGTGCTTGCCTGTGTTGTTTTTTTTGCCAGGGAGTAGGTAGGAGCCACTCAGAATTACTGGCATAGAGAGTTTTATAATGACCGTTGAGGGATGTAGATTGAGTCACCCTGAATCTTAGTAGGTCAAAGCTAGAGAGTAATGCTGAGCAGGGAAGAGGGCCGGGGTTACAGTGTGGAATAGTCACACGCTCTGGTCTTGTTGTTTTTGTAGTGTAATCGACAGAAAATACAACTTTGCAAATCTTTTTGACTGGTAGGAAAAGACTATAGGCACAAAAGGTTTAAAGAGGATGAAAAGCTCTAGGCTAGATTCAGGTGAAGATGACCCAGGACAGGGTCTACAGACTATCTGGAGCTGAGGACCAAGCAGGATCATCCAGAAGAGCTGTTGCATTTAAATCATGGAGAAGTTATGTTGACCCCACCGCCAGCATCCAGGAGGCTTTCAGGTACAACTTGCCCGGGTAAAAGTGGTAGCTCCACTTCGGGAGGAAACGTTGGTGCTCACTATGGACCCTGGGCTCAGATTCCAGGCTCTGCTGATTCCTAGCTTGGGACCCTGGGCAAGTTCCTTAACAATCCTTAGTCTCAATTCTCTCATTTGTAAAATGGGCTTAATAATGCATACCTTACAGAATTGTTGTGAGGATTTAGTAAGATAATTCACGTGAAGTACTCAGAGCATGCCTAACATGTGGTAAGCCCTCACTAGTGATACAGGATGAGGAACATTGTAAAGCAGTGTATGTTTCAATGTTAAATGAATGGCACAGAAAAGGACTGTAGGAAATACATTGTTTACTATGGGTTCTTGATACCTGTGCAGATTTCAGGACATCCATTTGAGAAATAAAAAGAAGGAAAACAAGATATGTGTAACACCCTACTATTTACTTCTGCCACTACTATGTTCTTTAATTTATCAAACATTAAGACGTCTTCTGTATTAGACACTATGCTACGCACTAGAGATACCAAGGTGAGTAACACTGGTATCCTACGTGGTAAGAGTTTACAGTCCGGTGGGGGAGGCGTTCCGGAAAGCAGAGGAACGGTGGTAACATAGCTAAGTGCTGGCCAGAGGTGTGAGCAAGCTGATAAGGCAGCACAGAAACTGGAGTCGCCCATTCTGCTCAGGAGCAAAGACCAGCAGGATGTGTTTAGGCTGAGGCCATGCCATGCCCAAGACCCAGAGATGTGAAAGGTCCTGCCGTGGTCAGAGGCTGAGGGAAGTCCAGTATGACCCACGAGGACACCCTAGACTGTAAACTCGAAATCAGCAAGGATTGTGTCTGGATTTTTTCTTACAGCTGCACTCTTAGCACTCAACCCTAGGACTGCCCTCTAGCAAATGCTAGAAAATGCTTGCTGAGAGAACTGGTGGGTGTGTGATGGGCATTACGTCTAGCACTTTCATATGCCCTTTCCATGTGAACCTGAACAGCTTCAGTGGTGTGATTCCCATTTTCACCATCAGTGAAATAGGAGTTTCAGAGAGATTAAGAAACACACAGTTACAGAGTTAGTAAATCCATAAAGTAGAAAATTCTAAGTTCTTCATTGCTTGTCATTGAAATTTCTGGTGTTATTTCTATTAAATTAGCATTCTTCCCAATATTGAGGTCATCTGAAGGGACAATGGAAGGATTGTGACCTTGCTGCCCCTATAGAGGGAAAACAAGCAGAATATAAAACCTCTAAATTGAGGATTAAATCCTAATTGCTGGCTTGAGGAGCCACTGAGTCATGATCACATTTTCACACATGAGCCTTATGACATCAGGGAGATTGTGTGTGTTTTAGGGCAACCTGAATTTTATATAGCTTTACAGAGCTGTACGTGTAAGTTCAGTAATTACATGGCATGTGTATTATAGTTTATCAAGTCTGCTGATCACTACTTATATAACACAGCAAATATCAGATTATAGTTTTTTTTTGTAGAAGTAATCTAATTTATAACATTCATACTTTGTGCTTTGTTAAAATTAAAACAAGTTCTTAATTGATAAGCCATTTCCTTCTACCACTCGAACTTGGTTTTTTCCCAGACAAATACTCTTTTCAAGAAGTATGTACACACACACACACACACACACACACACACACACACAACACAATTTCTTTTTAAAGGATTTCAGTTCTAGTTTGGGCTGGATTTAAGTCTCACCCTTCTCATTATTATCTTGTGATTTTGAAAACTTATCTCAACTTTGTAAGCCTCACTTTCATCATTTGTAAAGCAGGGATAATAATCCTACCTACTGGAATTGTGGGAATTAAATAAAATGACAAAGTGCTTGGCATCTAGTAAGTAGTCAAGATACGAATATGTGATAATAGTAATAATGGATATTGGTGTCAGTGTATATTTCTACTTTAATGTGTTGGACAACTTGTCACATAATTTTCACAAGAGCACATGATGTAAACAGCAGCTGATGGAATTGAGAAGTAATCTTTTTAGAAGTATGAAGTGTTACATTTGTCTTTTTCTGTGTGTTTTTTTTTCCTGGCTAGTGAATATCATGGCACCCTAAAATGTGACTAGTGATTATCTGAATTATCGTTTTAGTGATTACGCATATTTAACTGTATCATAAAGTCAAATGATCTTCTCTAAAAACCACTCCTAATGACTGCCGATATAATCAAGACTGCAAGGCAGGTATTAATCTCATTCACTTATCAACTCACTCATTCACTCAGTAACTCTTTATTGAGTATCTTTTATGGGCCAGGCTCTGTGTGGTTTCTAGGCCTTTGCAGATAAAAAGGGCTCACAACCTTGAGGAGCACGGCCCAGGGAAAGCCAGGCCTGTACACAGATAGGTCAAGTATATTATGATTCAGGTTATAATAGGCATCTTAATCAAATGTGTGGAATACAAAAGAGGTAGTGACAGCCCTGCTTGGGTGAACCAAGGAAGACCTCATGGGGAAGACGATGCGTGAGGTGGGAATTAAATATGTCTGAGTAGGATCAGAGAAGGGAGTAGAATATAGGAGTAGCTTACGTAATGGTTCAGCTGCCACATAGTGACTTAGCTTGGCTTATCCTGGAAGCCTTAGGAAGTGAAGTCAGTGTGCTCCTTCCTTCCCTCACTCCCACCTCAGTCGGCCAGCTACATCACATCCACTGTCTGTGAGTCAGTGCTGGTCACCTTGTAAGATGGGAAGAGCGTTACTACAATTTTATTCTCATTAGAATAAGTATGTGAAGTGAAAAACCTCAGAAGACATGTCACATCAAAATAATATATTTAATTGGTCCCCTAAGGTTGATGTAATAAAATTTTAACAAGTAATAATATAGTGTCTATTCAGTAAATGTTTGAGTACCTGTTGTGTGCCAGGTACTGTGCTAGGATGGTAATGCATGTTAATTTTTAAAATCAGTGAACTGAAAAGTACCATCTATCGATTAAATATGAAACAGTATAAACTTGCAAAGAAGAAGTCTAATTTGACGAAGTACAGAGAGCATGGGCTCAAACCTCTATCAGAGAGCAAAAAGGGCAAAGTTGGAAGTATGACTTTGGTAGTTGGCTGCCAGAAATCCTTTTCGGAATATAAATAAAAAACGAGAGTGGCCTGTTTTAAGACTCTGCAAGTTCTCTGCTTTCTTGAGCATTGTATGGACACATAAAGCTTCACTGTGTTTATTCTTGTCAGATTATTGGTATCGCTCAGAGTAAAGCCTGTCTTCTCTCTGTTCTCCAGTGTATTATTGTAGCAGATGGCTTTTAATAAAACATGTAGCTGAAGGAAAATTTTTACTCTATTTTAGTGGAACGTACTGTAATTATAATTACTGGATATTCTCAAGAGGAGATGTTTAAATTGGTATTTTTCTTACGATCAACTAACATTGAGTGAATAATTTAATTGAAAAGTCAAATTATGGTATCAGTTATATATATATTTAATTTGATAAGTTTTTCACAACTGAATTAAACTCTGTACATCATTTAGCCAGACAGGTATTTGCTTCTTTCTTTACATGGTTTATTTTTTTAAAAGTCAATGCAGTATCTTAGTCAAGTAACACTCAACCCTAGTTTTGTTGAGAGGAAGGGCATTGCTTAATTACATGGCTGCTCTGTTCTCTATCATCACCTTGTCTGCTTGTAGGAAATGAGCTTTTTGATAGAATGAGGTTATTCCTGCTGCATCTGTACCATTGGTATTATGAAAGTCACAGACTCTTTTGTACTGGTATATTACTGGTGTAACCATAAAATTTATAAAAATTTCTCCAGAAAATTTATAGATCTTTAAAATTTATTAACCAAAAAAAATAAGAGGGGCAAGGACACTGAAGAGTACTCAATGTGTTGTAATGTAAATGCCTTAAACATGTAGATAAAGATAGAAGTCTTTATTAAAGGAAACTGAGAATCGTGAAAGAGATTCTTTAACAGGGAAGGGTATAGCTCAAGCGGTAGAATGCATGATTAGCTTGCGTGAGTTCCTGGGTTCAGTCTCTAGTACCTCCTCTAAAAATAAACAGGCAAATCTAATTACCAACTCCCCCCCTCCCCCTGCCAAAAAAAAAAGAGAATTTTTTAAAAGAATGTACCTTTTGTTTCTCTTCTCTTGTGTAATAAAGGCGGTGGTTTTTTACTACATAATTACACCTTTGCTTATTGTTTTTTCACAGCATAACTTTAATCAAATTTTCTTGGTCCTCATGTCCTGAGGTCTTTCGTTTTCTATCATATCAATATTGACACCTGCATGCAAAAAACTGCAGTTATATATGTGAGTCTGAGGCTAAAAGTTTTACCCCCAACAGCAATAAGTTTCTGTAAAAAATTTAAAATATATTCTTAATTATTTTCATGTGCTTAAGTGATAATATTCTGCTTCTAGTAATAAGTATTGTTTTTGTTATTCTTTAAACATAGTAAATAGTTTTGAGGTAAATTAAGGAAAGGATGACTTTCTAATGAATTAGAGTGGGTGTACACGGTTTTGAGGGAAGACTTTTGGGCTTGTTGAGCATAGATCAGGGGCGTAAAAGCTGTATTTATATCTAGAGAGTTAAGGATAAAAGGAAAGCTCTGATATTTTCAAGAACCCAGGATTATACTGTGACTCCTGGATCCCAATTTCATAATAACTTTATTAGACTTATCTGCACATACTTAGGAGTGTATGTATGTTTTATTGGGTAATACGGTGTGATGAGTCTTCTCCAGGGTTTTGCTTTGCTTTGATTTACCTTTCCATTCACATTTATGTTTAGATATGTTTACCATTAATTAGCCTCAAGGTTAAAAAAAAAAAGAATGAGGCAGCAGATACCTATGAGGCAGGCACCAAAAATCCTCCTTCCCAAACACATTACAGGGTTCTGCTTGTGTTTTGGTGACATTTCTGTTGGGTAGTTTCTTGCTTGATTACTGCATGAATCTCTTGGCGTCTTTTCTTTCTCTTTTTGTATCTCTTGGTAGTTTATATTTCTTTATCTCTCCATCGTGTCTTTCATTCTCTGTTACCTACCTCCCTTTCTTAACTGCACATAATGTAGCTCTGAAAAAGTGGTTTTTATTATTTGTCGTTTTATATTTGCTAGGTGTCATGTTCCCTGTGAATTTCTCAGATTAGGCTGCTTCTTGCATGACTTTTAGTTGATTTTTAAACTGACAGTACAGTGGCCTGTGTCATGGTAGAGCAGAGAAACTGTTATTTTGTTGTACTTGGTATCCCGAGAGCCTGGCATTGGCCCTTAATAAATATTTGTTGAATGACTATATGAATTAAATTCTATAGGTCAGTGTTCCATGACTGGGAAAAAAGTAGGGGTCAGTGGCATTATAAATGAAGAACTGGATTAGAAGTTAGGAATTTTTTTTTTTTTAAATAGAGCACTTCAAATTATGGACCAGAGCTGATTAACTGAAGTCTCACTTTTTTCATCACATTTAATGAGTGGCTCTTAGGGACCAGACACAAGACTAGTCATTGAAAAGTTTTCTTTTTAATTTATTCTTTTCTGTTGGAAGGTAAATAATTACTTCTTTTGAGCTTATGGAGTTGATATGTAATTGATAATATGCACACATGGAGACCCCCAAATATGGCAGACTCATCCTAGATCCTGCTTCCTTTTTCCGTCAAATAGCAAAAAATAAACAAATGGAAAAAAAAAGCAAAAGAACTGAGTAAATTTGAGGTTATTGTAGGCCTTAGAAAAATTCAGATTCTTTGTGAAATTTCTTGAACTTCTTCTAGAATGTGCTAGATAAATACCATGTTGGGGATATTATTGCTATAAAATGTTTTCAGATTTTAAAGCTTTATTCCATAAACGGGCTCTTGGTTTAATTAATATATCCATTCCATAGAGTGTTTCAAACTAAGTATTGTATTTAATTCAATATGTTACAATTTTAAAAGAATAGTTATACCATAATAACATACTGTGATTCTTATTTGGTTCCTTTTTTTCTGTATTAAATCTTTACTTTTTCTAGCTTTACAATTAATTTTATCACTTATGCTTCTATTAAGCCTGTAACAGGCTTTAATTTTTTACACACAAACATTTTTATTTCTAATGAATGATGAATAGACTAGGTAAAAGTTGCTCAAAACTTTTTTATTCCTGAATTGGAATATTATGGGAGAGCTTTACTTGTTACTACTGTCAGAATAATTCAATCACTTCTACCCTTTAAGAGGATGATCTCTGACATGTTTATAACAGCTACTTAATCTTTTAATAGATGAATGATTTTTTGAAGACAGCGTCATGAAGCCTTTACCTTGATACCTGCAAAAAATGATGTGAAAAGGAGCAATTCCATTGAATGCTTTAAGCCTTCAGTGCTTATTTGAAAAAGTATAATTGTAATTTTTAATTGAAAGCTTGTCTTAATTTTTCTACCCATCTGTCTAGTTGGTACTTAGGTACTCTAAGTAAGGTTCCTTCTTTTCATACAGATTATTTAATTGAAGTCTGAGGCTTTCTTACTTTACTTTCTAGGGACCTCAGATCTTTACTTTGAAGAGTTTTTCAAAGCTCAAGTATATGCAAAGATGATTTGGGTATGTTTACAAAATTTCTGTCTCGTTCAGTCCTATAGAGTTTATCATGCAGTCAGAAGGGAAATTGATCTTTGTTACGTACTATTTAAAAATCAGTATTTTCCGAGTAAATAAGACTGTATCAGAACCTTAAATTAAGGAGATGAAGGAATTCCTTTAGATAATCTGCATCTTCTTTTTTCCTGTTGAGACTGGTGAGGTACCTCTCCACATGGAGCTATAGTTTTTCTAGCTTTCTTTCACTGAGAAAAGACCCTTTCCCGTTTAAACAGAAAACAGATCGAGCTTGATCCTACGGAAAAGATGACACTTAGTAATACCACAAGGGGAATTGTTGTTCATCCCAGTGGCACAGTGTAGTCGTGCATTAAGTGTTCTGGGACTAATTAATCAGGAAATGATTCTAATTAGAAAGGAAACTGCTCATCAGCTGCCTGCTCAGGCGATTTTATGGGAAGAAACTGTAGACTCAGCTACTTGCTCTCTAGCCTCTAGCAACGTTATTTAATTGCTTATGTCTCAGGTGAAAGGGGTAATTTAAGGATTTCTAGCAGATTTTATTTTGTAGTAATACACTTTGATATTTAATAGACTTGTTTTCAGATGTAAATTTACATAATAGCAATAATTTTGGAGTTAGAATATTTTGGTTGATCTGCAAGTCTTGTTAACTTGTAAATCTTACCATCTTTTTAAAATCATGGAGCAAACCATGCTACATAGAAAGAATCTTAGTAGACAACATTTGAATATGTGTATAGATATATTATATATAACTTTAAACAATTATGCAAGATCAAAATAAACATAAATATTGAACAACTATTAGTGAATTTATCTGTTCAAGTCATACTGGCATTTCTGTTAGCTTAACAGTTTCTTTGACTTGCCTTACTAAAGTCATCTTAGAGAATTACTGACTGAGAAGGTACTTCATAAGGGTATCTGCTTTACATACGTATCGTATGTCTTGTTTCTCAGGCCTGTTTGTGTTTGTGTGGTGATTAGCATATCCAGCATATCAGGTACTTCTTAATTTACAAAATGGTAATTGATTATGAACTGCTGATGAGAACTTGATAATTGTTCCTAGCTGCTTTTGTTGATTTTACTTCCTATCTTTTGATAT